ATAATGGTTGTGATTGTGATCACAGTAGTGATTGTGCTGAGTGCTGCTGGTGGCACAATTAACAACCCTGAGCAGTGTATAAAAAGAGGTGAATCGAGGCAAAAATCAAATGCTTGGGACCCATGAGAAGTCCACTAAATTGCAGCCTACTTTCAGGGGCGGAATCCCAAAAAAGGGCCTGGCATCAATTAACCCGGAATAATCCGCATGGTAAATATGTCATTGGGCACACACCTGAGAATCTACTAGTTGTCTGACCACTCTTTGACTGTCCACAGCGTAGATGTGATTGCTGTTGGGCACCAAAGCAATGTCCACGATTTCTTTCCCTTTCAAAACCACTTCGCTCAACCGGTTGCCAAATGGAATGGACCATTCATACACAGCGCCATCTTGTCCACAAGAGACCAGTCTTCTGTCGTCCTCTGACCAGATCACTGCATTTATCTGTATGTTGATGAACATGGGTTAACTCGGATGGCTACATGAATGACACGCCTTGTGGGCACAATGCTAACCTTGGCAGTGTGTCCTCTCAGCGAACAAACAATTTCGTATGTTATAGTGGAGAATACTTGTATGTAAGCAGGGGAGCAAATGGCTGCAAACAAGTGTCCACCAGGACTGAATGCGCAGTCTGGACAAGCCCTGACTGAAAATTCGTGGCTCAAGGACAGGTGATCAACATGGATCCCATAAATTCTTAGCTTGTCAGGAAACCCAGCCAGTAAGTACAAACCTGCAAGAAAATATTTTTGGAACACTTTGTAATCCATCAATGCTCATTTTGTAAAAATGTCCCTGATATCAAAATGGCTTCAAGTCTGCATGTAACACTAGAATGAAAAATTCCGCTACTTCAAGCCTTACTTGAGTAACATAATGAACCCCTTCATAAGATGTGAACCTGCATTTTTAAACAGGAAAAGTAGGTAATAATTTATCAAATAAGAGGCACACCCCATTTTTTAGTGAAAAATATTTAAATTTGAAAAATCACAAGAGTTAAAATTATCAATTCATTCTTAAAACTAAAAAAATAGACATTGAGCACCACGCAGCCTTGCGTAAGACACGCGTATTTATTTTTGAGGAGCAAAATTAATCAAAAACCCTGCATGAGGTATGAACCCCATCTAAAGAACTGAAACTATCACTATAAAATAGAAGGGAAATTCTATTGATTTCAATTTGATCTCCTACGATTCATTATTTACACTTGTGATACCTTGTGGCGGGAACACCTCACACTATGAAAATTCTTTAGAATAAATGCGTGCAATTTTTCTCTCTTGTACAATGAGAATAAAAAAATTGTATGAAGAACAAATTTGTTCTTTATACAAATGTGATTTCTATCAATAACAAGCCATTCAACACACACATTGCTGAAACAAATTATGTTTGTCTAATGAGGTACCAGCACTGTCATGTGATAATGCTCAAACAAATGTGACAATGATAATGCTGAAACAAATGTGACAATGATAATGCTCAAACAAATTTTTCAACATTTGCATCAATAGTTTTACTGCACTCAATATTATGGTGACGTGTGCCCCAATTTTTTGTTTTGATTTTTAGAGACACATGCAGGTTACTTCAGGTTTTTCATTTAAAATAATTGTTCAAACAAAAACGCAGCATCCAAATAAGGTAAATAGACGTAACAATTTCCTGGTTCTTCGCAAGTTTTAATTTTACTTTCTGTCAATTATCTGATTCTGGAGTCTGGACGTGCAACTATAGAGAAATAAAGCTAACCCAGGGGATGAATAGCCACACAGCTCAGCTCGTCGTCCATCTTCTGAAGCAGCTCCATGGATTTGGTTTCGTGGTTCCACAATCCAATGGTGTTGTCACTTCCGCAAGTAACCACCAGAGGTCGTCTGAGGCTAATGTCCACATCAATCACACTACCCCCATGAAATGGCTCCAACAAGTTCACAAAAGTTGACGGCACTCCCTGTCACAAATTCGAATTTATATGTCATGTAAAATGGAATAGAAAGAGTCTAACTCACTCTTTTCATTGCGGCATCACTCAAATTTGTGGACAAAATGCACCTCGAATCCGTAACAGCCACTAATGTGTCTTGTCTTGGATTCAAAGTCAGTGTGTGAATAACAGGGATGTTGGTGGTCAAAGCAGCATCGCCCGAAACTGGTAGAATACACGGCAACCCGATTGCATGAATCTGTGGAGTGAATCCATGTTGAGTGCATACTATTCTTTTCGTAGAAATCAAAATTCAACGGGAAAATGTTTGAGCACTACACCTGCTTGTAATAAGCTTTTTCGCCTTCAGGCAACCTCCTGAAGACAAAAGCCCAGCCAGCAGCAGTGGCTACCGCAAATCCCCCACCAGGAAGTGAAATCACCGCTGAAATTTGTGGACTATCTTCCAAATCCGGGATGTGTTTGTTATTCAAAATATCTGGTCTGGAAGAGAAAGTCACTGAATAAGTCTTTGGATCTCCATAGAAACGAAAACAAAACTAGAAAATTTTTTTTTTCCAAGTTTTGAACAGCAGTGGGTTGATCCTGGGTGTAGTACAAACCCCCCCCTGCCAAAAGCCCCCCTAGGTCAAAAGCCCCCCCCCCCCTTGGTGCAAAAATTGTGGATTACAGGTCTCCTTGTAACTCTTGATGGTAAGCTGCACCTTTTACCAGCAGGCCCGGCACAAGGCCATGTACCAATATGTTTGTAAGTTGAGTATATAAAGGGATTCCTCACCTGCAGTGGTCATCAGTGATACTTTGAATGTCAAAGTATCATCACTTGCTGACTTCTGCAAAATCTAAAGTTCACCTTGTTGATTCAATGGCTGGTGCACTTCAGATCATCAAAAATCAGAAGGGTGGTGAAAAGGCATACTACAATGGCTATTTATTCATGGTTAAGAGCACAAATGCCAGTACTAAGTGCTGGACATTTGCTAAAGAAGGAGATGAGATAAGAGGGCCACATTGAGAAAAATAACATTGAGAGCATCATCAGTGATACTGAGGAAGAGGCTGCAGAAGGTAATTTTGAAGATGATTATTCAACAGTCATTTTGAGGACTAATAAAACCAAGCAGCCCTTTTCAGGGCCACCAAACACTGCTATGAAACTTACATAAAAAAAAAAGTGGGGTGGGGTCTTTTGGTAGGGGGGGCTTTTGACCTTGGGGGCTTTTGGTAGGGGGCTTTCCAGGGGGGGGGGGGGGCTTTTGGTTGGTTACTGTTGATCCTTGCATAAAAAATATTTTGATAGTCTCCACGTAACAAACTGCTGTATTCTGTGCTTGGATGCGCATTTTTGGCATTTGAAACATTTTTTCCCTCAAGCTGTACTTGACAAATATTTAATCCATCATAGAGAGTCTCAGATACGTAATATTAAACGTTTATGACCGGGCAGTCTTCGGGATTTTCAGCATACAATTTCCAATTTGAAGTTTATTAGTACAGGTATATAATTGCATCGACGTAATCCTGATGTACGTGTTAATGCTCTTTACTTTCTGAAATCCACAAATTTGGAGTTTTTGGCCAACAATGTTTTCGAGTGAAAATTTTTTTTTGCGTGAGTCACTTTCCTCTCCTCCAAAATATTCCGATGAATCATTCGTGGATTTTGTGAAGCGCGGACCCATAACTGTGTGTTACATAACCAAATTATTCATTGACAATGAATGGACACACGTTCAAAAACTTTCCTTCCACTCAACTACGTTTTCCGAGAAAAAAACTGCTTGTTCAGCTTAAACGAATTTGTTTTCAGTGCAAAGCAAAATTGCTAAAATAAGAAAGAAAACATTAAATTCTTGCATATCTACAGCCAAAAAAATTGATCACGAAAGTTGAGTGCCTAAAGTTCTGAAATATTGGCCCAAGTGATAGTAAAACCATCTATAGAAGAAGTTGAATCATCCAAGAAAAAAATATTTCAGACGACCTTTTTTCTCTCATTAAAAAGAAAAAGTTATCAATGAAAACCGTTCCGTGCGTTTATTTTTTCACGAAGGTATCATAAAATTGTCAGCTCGTGATACTTTCCAAAAATGTTCGAAGTAAAGTTTTGAAAATATTCCTAATATAGCCTTCAAAAATTTCCATGACTGGGGTAATGGCACAATCACGTTGATTTAATGCTGATAACTGGTTGAAATACACAGGTTTTGAAGAGTTTTTTGCGTTTTTGGGGTGGATGAAACGTTTTTTTTTTAATAACTTGAGAGAAAACTTGTTCGACATGATGCAATGTTTGAAGAAAATAAGTCATGATGGAATGTACGAGGTAGGTTCTTCAGAACCCAATACTGTTCGGCTAGCATATGTAAATCGCCTAAAAATGCGCATCTACATTTTTTCCTATTAAATTATGCGTTCACTTTGGGTTGTTTCTTGGAATTTCGGCAGAACAACCTGCAAATAATTCCAAGGTCAGCTGAACGCGCTGATCCTCAGATCCGAAAGGGCACAATGAAACTTTTGTTCCATCATCCGATAAAAAAATTGTAGGCTCATGCATTTGATCTGAAGTAAATATACTGTACATGAATAAAGAGTATATACCCTTCTGTTAAGGCAGCTGCCGAGTTGACCCTGATCCTGGCTTTGAAATCCCCGTGACTGAAAATTGAAATCTGTCCAGACCTGGTGCCACAGATGAGCCTTTCAGAGCTGAGCCAAGCATGACACGTATAATCAGGCTGATCGGACTTCAAATGACCGAATGGCTTCAGACTTCCCTCAGTCAGACGAAAACACTTGAAAGCTTGTTCACCAACGACTGAAACCACATTCTCATCCATTGGGTTGAAGATAATCTGCCTCAATACCACGTACGCATAATTCAAGTCTCTCATTCCGAAATTGTACGCTTCCCGGTTTTCACGGGTGTAACAAACTTCTGAAAATACGGGTCACCTGAACGGGTTTGGCCCCAGGCGGAGGCTTCTCCATCGGAACTGCGGTGGCCATGACCTTGTTTTTCTCCCATGCCCAGTAGATGACTGTCCAGTCGGGTGGGCCGCAGAGTCCAGCCAGGTACTTGGAGGAATGGGACACAGCAATGGATACGAAACCCGTCCCTGGGATCTTCACTGTATCAGGGGTAGTGAGTGGCTTGTGTAGCTTCATTTTCTCCAGACTGTAGATTGCCACTCTCGGTTTATCGCCTGTTTCGGCAACAGCGATATATTGTCTGGAATGCAACATCCCCACGTTTCGTCAATTGATCACGTTTCTGTATAGTAGATGGGTTCCTTGGATTATGTGCTCTGGTTTATAGCATTCTATCACGATGTAAATAGTAGATACGTTATACGATAGAAAATCGACGGCATTCATGCAGAATACGTGACGCCTTGACACTTGAGAAAATCACACGAATGGATGCTGTGCACCCAACGTGATCTTTTCATTACATTTTTTAAATCTCCTTTTCACTGCAGAATTTTGAAAAGTTTAGGATGTTGTACAGACATTTTCTGGAAGAAGCACAGTGGAATAGAAAGTTCTATAGGAAGATATACTACATTTATTTAAAAATTTGCACTGCTTGATTCTGGAATTTGAAAGGAAAATCTGTAAAATAAGTTCTGTGATGTATCCATTTTTTAAGGAGACAATGTTCTGGCCATATTTCCAAACCACATAATGCAGCTGCTGCCCAGACCAAGGATGAGTCAAAAAGCATCAGTGCCATTTTTGTGCCTTTCACTTCTAGCTGTGCAACTGTACATTTTGGGATGTATTTTATTTCCATTCAATATCCATATGCAGCTTATTTCTCTATTTTCCATTCAGCTTATGTGATGGAATTTGTTTGGGGTTTGGATGTGGGAACATTGCTTGAACCTTTATTGTGAATAATGCTAAAAAAGAGAAAATGAAGTTCATTAATTGATCAATCCATCAATTTTAGAATTTGAAAATTCCAGAATGTCACAAAGAAGTTCTCTGTATACAGTATTTCAATTTCAACAAACTGTACTTGGTTATCTCTGTGTCATTTCTGGTTTTGGAGGGATGATGCTTTTAATATTCTTATGACCAATAAACTTAACTTACTCATAAATTCACTCAGAATTGCATTATGCTTTGTTATTCTGTTGCTATTGATGGGAATACCTTTCTAAGCATTCTCTACAAAAAGTATGTTCCACCAATAGTGTAGACACTGATTCAAGTTGGTGACTGCCACCACTCCCATTACCCCATTTGACAAATTTCATATATGAATACAAGCGTTTGCATTTTTTATGCAACTTCTGCTCTCCCAGATTTTGCTTTGAACCCTTGTCAAAATGGATTGATGCGTACTTATTGGAACTATTTCGTTGTGGAAATAGAGTTGGTATAAAAAAAACTCCTCGAAGTCTATTCTTAAATATCTTCAAAGAATGAGGGAAATAAATAAAAACTTTGAGTATAAGTAGCTGCTGAATTGAAAAAAATTTAAAAATACATACTCCAGTAAATTGGCTGGATAGCAATTGAATTAGTCTGATTTTTTTTTCTGAACAATATAAGAGCACCGGAATCACTTAGTGTACTCCACAGGAATATGAGTTTCATGGTTATCAGATTAGTTTCGAGCATGTGTTGATGATTTCTCAACAGTTTCCCTCAATAAGTAGCGAAAGGGTTCTTATATATTATACTCACTTATTGGGAAAGACAGCGATGGCAGAAGCAGGGGCTTCATCAGGCATATTCAAGAAACTCTGGGACTTGTGTTGGAGGTTGAGTTGCACAATCAGGCTTCCAGAGGGGTACAAAATCGTGTCTTCATCTTTGTAAGCAACTGCACTGATGGGTGAAGAATTCACCCCCACCATCCACAACTTTTTCGCGCTGCCTAAAACACTAGCCATTATGACTGAGAAATTCTGGAAGAAAATGTACTTGGACTGATTTTTTAAAGTCACCAAAGTTTTCAAAACAAAACTGAGTCACCTGGAACTGCACAGTGAAAACAGAATGACCTCACCTGGGGAAACGCTAGGATTAACTGACTTGAGGCCAGCTTGGGTCACCACCCCCCGCTCAGGTTGTTTGGTCAATTTTGGGATTACAATAGGCAAGTAATTCTGTGCTGTGCTCTCTTTATAAGCCCAAGCACCAGTTCCAGGGATGCAGGGCAGATTTTCACATTTAGTGCTCATTTTACCCTGCTTTGGTCATGCCTGTTGGAAAGTTCTTCTTTAAAAGCATTTCTCAAAACTATAATATTTCCTAGAAGACGCAAAAACATAAATTTACTCACTTTCCATTCATATGCGCAGCCGGGAAAAGTGCACCAAATAAAAACGTATGCATGCATACGTGTTGGATGTCCAGTTTTATTTTGTGGAGTGTGTTCTCTTTTGTTTTTGTCATTGGTTTGTGCTTTGTTTCATGCTTTGAAGTGATTAAATGTCTTTGGGGGGAGTTGGGTTGGGTGGGGAGGGGGTTTGGATAGGGGAGTCTTGATTGTGCCTTGTGAATGCTGAAAAGCGGTAAATAAAGTGTTCTGTTCATTCATTCATTCATAAAAACAAAAGAAAGAGTTCATAATTTCAGTACAGAAAAACTCTGGTTCATGTATTGCAAAAAAAAGGGCCGGTCCGATTGCATGACTCGCCAATTTCCGGACACGTCATATTCTGGAGAGCTAATGCAGTGAAATTTGACGTTTCCTCATTTATTCCCGCATGTTATCTATGTGAAAATATTCCGTCCCCTTTCTGTATCAACAGCGACGAAGGAATTTCCTCTATGGAATCGAAAGCGTGCATTCAGTTATGTAAACAAAGAAATGTTCGTTTTAGCAAATATTGGCTTCAGACTTTCAGCTGAGCCGAACGCAAATTGGCAGTTCTGACGAAGTGCTCTCGCGAATGGCCGTGAGTGCCAAATCAAAGCCCGACGAAGTGTTATGTTTTCGTGAGCTCCAGTATCGAGACGAAAATAATTGAAATCCTGAAGAAACTGATTTCTCACGACGAGTTTTAGTCAAAATATCATAAATATCAACCTCGTCAACTTCAGCGAATTTTCTTTTCAACTTATTGTGACTATTATTACGTTCCCCGTGATCTCAAGCACATACAAGCAGTGTTTATCAGCTACGCATAAATGCAGAAATCCAAGCCAGCATTTGCTGATATGTCTCGAATTTTGAAATCTGATAATGTACACATATAAAAGTGAATATTATTTTAGTGATTCATTTTCGTATGAAAATTCTACGGAAATCTGTTTGTTTCAGCAGCGTTGATTGATTCTCTCGCATTTTTCATAACCTCAGAATTAGTTTGTGAGGGCAGATCAGCATACGATTTTCAATTCGAGGGAAACTATTTAAAAACCCTTCTTCGCAATTTCTTCTAGACTCTTCGAACTTCATGCAACAGGAAATTTACGGACGGGGGAACCTTCCAAAATGCACAGAATCTTCGAAGGTTCTACTGTTTTTTAGCAGAAGAATTTCCGGCAGAATGGTTAAAACTAGTGTTCCCCAGATTTTTTGGGGCCCCCCAAAAAATAAATGAATAAGTTCCAAAAAATTGTCGATGGACTGGCACAATTTCGTAACATTTTTGCAGACTCAAAAAGGTTTTTCTTGAAAGACTGGCAAGATTCACAAATTTTCTGATTTTTTGTGCAAAAACTAAGTTAAGCACCAGTGAAGCAGCTTTAGCTGAATGTCATCAAAAATTAAAAAGGCAGGTTCAAAGAAAAGTGTTTCAGAATGAAAAATTAAATAATTTATTTCAGCAGGTGACAATTTGTCACATGTTATTAGAAGAAAAGCCAACTTGTATTTTTCATCAGATCATTTCAACTGCCATTGTTTTTCTAAAATTTTCAAATAAAGATGACAGACTTCATTGCTAATTATTTTGATACATTTATTATGCTGAATATTTCCCGCGGACCAGGGGAAGAAGTTTTGAGGACCATTGTTGGTCCGCGGACCACAGGTTATTGAGGAACACTGGTTTAATCGATGAAAATGATGAAAGCTGCTTGTGTTTGGCAGATCATCACATTGGAGGATACTCTGAAGGGTTCGTTTGACGTTCTCCAGTAGATGCTAGACTCATATCAAGTATAATAATGCGTATAGTTTTCAGATTCCCTCTAGTGCTGTCGAATAAAGTGCCATCATTTACTAAAGGCATTCAATATTGCAGAGGAAGCTGAGAAAGTGAGTGCATAGGAAGCGAATATTGTTCCGGAGAGTCTCACGGGAACCCGACATTGAATGAGTTGAGCATGCCCAGAAGACGTCGATTCGGCGCATGAGCGCTGAACCCTGTGGAGTTCCCAGGTCTCCGGGTAACGCTCAGTCGATGCATGAGACGGGTGCACGATAAAACCCAAAGTTCTGCATGTGAAAAAAAAAGGCTGGTGATACTCATGCAGAAAGCGGCTCCATACGACACGGCGAACGGATTCTCCAAACTATTTTTCATGTAAGTCTTCGCATTACTCAGAGACAATAATACATAAAAGTGTCTCTTGATATATCCAGTCAACTCTTGTTTTAGTGCTCATATTCGTTCCTCTGAATTTCTTGGCATTGCACAGTATAGTGACGTAGTGAAGATAGTACTGCGGTTACGAAAATGCGGACTACGAAGGGGGACAAAACTAATTTTTTAGTACAGTACAGTACAATATTGAATTGTTTGACGCCGTCGTTTCTGGGCTTTACGACGAAATGATGAAACTGAGAAATAAACTCCGGGCATTTTCATTCATCATAGTCCTCATATTTTATTTTATTACTTTTCTGTATGTACTTCTGAATCACATCCAAATTTCACCTAAACTTAGTTTCCGTTTTAAAAAATTGAAAATTTTCTTCAAAATTTCTTTCAACTGGAATTGTTTTTTGCGGAATTTTGCTGTGTTTGTCTGCTCTGAAGTTGGTGTGACGAAAACTCACACAGAAAGACTCAAAAATCTTACGAATTCAATATAGTTTAGGACCTTATTTTGAGAAATCTATGAATTTCATATGGATAAGGCACTGAAGTTTATCCCATAATAATGTTCAATTGACAACCGCAGTCCTTCTGGAAAAGCCAATGTTTGAGAAATGTTTCATATCATACGAAAGCGTTTCTGTGCCAGAAAAAGTTTAGTACCATACTCAGCTAAATGTAACTATCAAAAATATGCTTTAATTTCTTAGGAACATGGAGTTGAGTATACAGACTAGTATTGTACTAAACTAAAGCTTGGTTTTTTTCTTGATATACGCAGCAAGTGTCAATCGCATACAGTATTTCAATGTTCGTTTCAACTACGATTTTTTCTAAAAATGACACTTTTTCCTTCCAATTCTGAATTTATTCATTAATTTTCCTTCGACTCCAGAAAAGGCAAGTTTGAAAAATCCATTAAGTAACCATAAAATAAAATTACAGCCTCTGGAACAAGTGAAAGTGTCAGGAAGAAACTGATAATTTCTCATTGTTGAACTCGTTATATGAGTGTTGATTGATCATGCATGGTTCAGAAATTTTGTTGAGTTATAACCTGTGACCAGGAAATCCGAATTGGTTCGTTTAAAACATCATTTTAGGTCACCTTGGTGAATTAATCTCTGGTCATAATCAAGAATAAGCACAAAAATCCCATGATATCTTTTTGAATATATTTAGGTAAGAATAAAAATTGAAAATAAAATTCATTTTAAAATTCCAGTAATTGAATTTATGATCAAAACAGGCCTAATATGATTTTTTTTAGATTTTTTTTTCATCATGTGTGCTTAGTTCTTTCCTTATTGAGCTCCTTCTAATGCTTAGATCAGATTCTTTGTCTTTGTCTTATGCACACATATTTTATGCATTTTGACGTTCAGAAGAATTATTTAATTGTTTGAGGGACTTAATTCCTAATTTTTGATAAACAGGAGAACCTGTGAAACAAGTCCCTAATATTGAAATCTATGAGAAAATGTGATCCGACTTACGGATGCTCCGACATGGGGTCAAGGTCCAAGCTCCCATTCCGTCCGTATCCCGGGGCCCCCACCGTACATTATTCCTTTGTATACTTCGGGTTTCGTAGGCTTCGTTCGCGTAAACCCAGTTTCGAGGAATTCGAGGCATGGTTATATGCTTTTTATGTGAACTTCAAACATTAATTGAGTTTCTGAGAGGTCAGATCAACTTCAATGTCAAGGATGACTGCCGTTAGTGCCAGGCCGCGATCGCTCGCTTTTTCCTGCTCATTCCGCCTGGCACAGGACTTCCTTAGATTGTGCAAACTCATTTCCGATGTCAACAACACGCGAAGGCTTCTGTTCACTGCTACGCAACAATTTGGCCGATGATTTGTGCAGTAATAGACTTTTCCTCGAGCCGAAAGGGTCCGAAGTTGAACGCGACACTCGAGCGGGGTTTTTTTTTTTTTTTAGCCTAAAGGAAAATTTTTGGAAATGGTTTTTCGAAAAGTTCCGTTAGTGTTTCTCCGCGGGAAGTGCGTCGGGAAGTTTACTGTTAATCAAACGGAAGTCCCGGATCAGGCCAGGGCGAAAACAGACAGAGACGAACCGATCTCTAGAAAATCCCGAGCCCCCTTCGATCGTGTAGGATTTTTGTCACGTCTATTCGTCACGTGAGTTCCGAATATAATAAACTTGAGGATAGCTTGGGAAATCTGGCGGAAACCGTGACATCTATCAGAATCAGTGATGAGTAAAAAAAATATAAAAAGAAAGCTCGGATGAATCTCAATGTCTCTTCTGAAGTTGAAACAGAACTCATTTGACAGTATTTTTGCTCGATGAGAAGATACGTTTTAAAAATCTAAATCGACCTTCGCTAAGGTTTCTCTCCTTAAGTTGAAACTGAATTTATTTGACAGTATTTTTCCTCGCATTCTTATATCTAAATCAATCTTCAGCAAGGTTCATTTTCGACAATTTCCGTCACGATTTTCGCAAGATTTTCCAGTGCGAAACTCGGCACTTTCTTAGATCTCAATCAATCTCTATTAGAGGAGTTTTCGAAAATTCGAAAACGACAATTGGTAAGAATTCCAAGAAAGTTTTCTGGGGGAAATGTTTGGATTTTCCATGCCTTGTGCTGCAAATATATAGAGAGCTCTGATGCTTCAAGTTTCCAGTCGCTTTTTGTGCTTACTTTTCCTTCGTTCCAGACGAGGGTGTGATCATCCAGAAAATCTAACTGAAAGAACCTTCAAAATTTACATAGATTTCCAAATAATATAGAATGATATTCTTGACATTGAATGAGTGTTTGTATTCCATACTATATAGATGGGTTCACCCACTTTTCTGGAAGGGTTGGAGGAAGACTCTGGATGCCGAAGATTTATACAGGGTGCCTTCTGCTGATGAGTCTGCCCGACTCGCTGCAAAATTGACAAGGTCAGTCGATTTCAAGAGCTTCCAAAGCTTGCTAATTTTCTTACCGTGTAAATAATGTACTAGTCGGTCTATACTTCAACTGCATTAAGAATAAAGATAGAAAACTAATTTCTTTCTGAGTCTCCGTACTGCCAAATTCTTTTTTTTTTTTTATGTCCCTATATATAGCGCAATAAAATGCCAAAACTAAACCTCAATCAATTCAACAGATAAAATGTTTTCATTTAAATAAAATACTCAGGCGGCTGAGCTTCTCGATTTTCCGCATGATTCGAAAAAAGTGACATCTACTACGCAAAATTTGTAATATCTTTCAACTTCTGCAAAAAAAATAATGCTACGGTTCCATGTTTAGGAACCCTTCATAAAAATCAGCCAATCTTTCTGCTCCATTTTTCATATGATGGTGCAATTTTAAATTATCGCAATAACGTACTTCAATATACAGTATAGCGATGTGGCTTTTTACATTTCATTGCTAGAAATTGCGAACAATTCGAAAAGGTCGATTGGCTTCAGCAATAACTAAGCCAACTGAATGTACTTATGTTGAATATGAGGAACTTGAAAAGTGCGATTATTTCCCTCAGAACTCTGCTCGAAAAGAAAAGATGAAAGCCTTTTTCATTCTTGGCAAGAAATCTTTTCTGGATTAAAAACGTATTCGACGAAAGTTTCTCTGGGCCTCAGTAGTACAAAGTGTATGGCAACAACTTATACCAAAACAAAAGTACTCAGAAAGAGCTCATAGAAATGAGCTTAAGAAAGATTTACAAGTATTGGAATTCAATGAAGAGACCCTTTCTGAAATCATAGAGGGTCAAGATAAACTGCTGGCCTTATATGATTTCTGGTCAAATATTCTGTATAAATTGTTCATTCAACTAAACCTTATCCGGGAGCAGGCTGAAGAGCTTGTGCTTTAAATTGGGTACAAGTAACTGCTGCAATTGCTATAATTCTGACTTATGCTGCAATTCTTGTCACTGATATTTTGTTTTCAATGTCAGGGAAAGAAGGGGTGTATATGCATACACGTCAGTTGTGCAATTTTACATTGTGGAATGTATTTTCTTTTATTTTGGCATCCATATACAGCTTATTTTCTCCATTTCCCATTCTGAAGTGATTGAATGGATTTGGGTTGGGCGGGGATGGGGTTTGGAAGTGGGAATGTTGATTGAACTTTGTGAATGCTGAAAAGCAGAAAAATAAAGTTTTCTGCTCATTCATTCAGAAATAGTGATTCTGATGATATTATATTTGGCAATGAAGAAGATACGGTAATCGAAGACATTGGGTTTACAAACTACTGCACCATTCTATCTGTGAAGGGTTGATTGTACCTGGGATTTAATTATCAGCAGAAACTTCAGCAAACTAAAATATTCTCTCACGCGTATCCTTCCACGCCTCGATAGATTTCATGAGTCATTTTACGCATTTTCCAGGTCTTGGGATCAGGAACAAAACATTCTCGACTCAACGAAGCGTCCTTCCTTACTAAGAGCTCTGGTGCGGGAATTCGGTCTTGTTTATATGCTCACTGGAGTCCTGGCATGCATTGAAGAAGTGTTTCTCAGGTAACGTGCATTCCATAGCTCATTCCAATTACAGGGTATTTGAAACTCTACTGTATCCATGAAAACTTGAATATCTTTATGTTTAGGGAGTCGCGCGAATTTTAAAATGGTACCCAATTGATGTCAGAAGGTATAAAAATGAGAAGGAACAGTGCTTGAAAAGAGATCTGGGATCATCCAGCAACAACAAAAAATTATCGGCATTAAAAATTAGAAAATTTGAGCATTCGAACGTTTTTGCTGGACTAAATGACTCCATAATCATCTATCCGAATGACAGAAATGGCGGTGACATTTTTAGAATCCCAAGGAAAAGAATTGCATTCATGCGTTGTTAATGAATGCCTGAAATATCGACTATATCCCACATTTAAATAATGCAATGTGCAACTTTTTTCAACTAAAACCGTGCAACCGGATTACAAACAATTAACGAACCCATCTTTTGGTAGAATGTCCTGTTTGCTGGGACAAGCCATGAATTGAATTTATTTTAAGTTGATTCTATTGCCACAAAATGGTATTTCAATTCATCAGAGCAAAATTATCCATTCTACTGTTATAAAGTAAGACATTTCACGCAAATGTCGTAGGAGAAATTTCGTCAGTAGATTTCGATTCAACAAGTTCAGATGAATTTGTCGTGAGATTATCTAGGATGAAATTAAATTATCTGAGATACTGTATTTTCAAGCGGGATTATTTTTTTTCAGTTGTCTCAGCAGAAGCCTTTGTTCCAGAGCAACAAGTTTCATTCTTGAGGAATACTTCCGTACATTTAGTACATTTTAGGAACGAGTTTAGTTGTTATTTGAGGCCTCGTATTTCAGGTTAATAATGAATATGATTGGCACACACTTTTCAAAAGGCGAAGAAATGATAATTTTTTATGGAGCCAATCTGCTTTGTGCTGTTAAAAAAAATTTTTCTTCCCGCTTTTCCCACCTTGCTTCCACGATTTTCAGGATTCTACGCTTATAAACTCCTAGAAATATTCACGCTTTTTTTTTTTTTTTTTTTTTTGGATCTGTGGTTGAACGTGGATTGCTCTTATTTTCTTGCCTCGCTGACATACTTGACCTCACGCATATACGATCCTGGGTTCCAGAATTCTGCAACCTGTGTTTATGGGGCTGCTGATCCGTTACTACAGCAGAACGCTGGGAGACTACCCGTGGATCCCGGATCCGGAGAATCCGCAATGGTCCTGGATCTTCGGATCGGGCATCATGCTCTGCTCTGTGATATACTGTTTCACTCACCATGCCCTGTTTTTCAGTCTGCAGCGCACAGGAATGAGACTCAGAATCGCATGCAGTTCCATCGTCTTCCAAAAGGTTTGTTCCCGAGGGGAACTTTGACCTGCTTCACCCCTCCCCCCTCGGCGAATTTATCGACCAAGCTCCTCTTATTTGCATGCATGCAGATAGGAATAAAGAGCGCGCACGTATGAGTGAATAAAAACCCAAGCCAAAAATGAGTGCCACACTTTAATGATGGTGTTGTATCATGACTCAAGTTATCATGGAAGAAAATGCATTATGTCTTGTTGCATTCACAGGCATTGCGCCTGAGCCAGAGGTCACTGGCTAAAACGTCGGCAGGTCAGATGGTGAACTTGCTGTCCAATGATGTGAATCGGTTCGACCAGAGTCTTATCATGCTTCACTACCTGTGGGTCGGACCACTTCAGCTCTGTGTGGCGACTGCTGTGCTCTACTATGAACTGGGCTTCGCTTGCTTCGCTGGCATAGCGGCGCTCATCGTTTTCATTCCTCTTCAAGGTACGGTTATTCTTCCATTTGAAATGGCTTGGTTTCGTTATTTGGTAACGCTGTTTATGCTTGACGCAGAATTCAGAGGGCTTTCAAATTTTCAACTCGTGCCAAAAGACTTTTTCGTAGATCGTGTAGTTGAAGCAGTTTTGTTTCCTTTCTTAATCTGCTTGAAGATTAACTACAGTACTGTACTTCAATTGCTGATGCCTGAGACAATACTTATTATTCCCAGTTTTACTACCGGATTTACTCAAGTATACCACGCACCCTCCAGTAAGGCACACACAGGGGTTTTTCAAGTGGAAATTTGGCTAAAATCTTATACCCCAGTAAGACACGCACCCCAATTTTTAGTGAATCTAGAACCACAAAATTTTGAAAAAAAAATCCAAAAATTTTACTTCAGACATGAATTGAACAAAAATCCAATCAATTTTCAACTTTTTCAGTACAAAAAAGTTTTCTTGTTACATTTGTTCAAAATTTCTCCATTATAATTAAGTTTAATGCACACATAACTTCCTAAAACTTCTTGAAACATTTGTACTTGCTTATGAGGCGCACCCCTCTTTTTCTTCTGAAATTTGAGAAAAAAAGGTGCATCTGGTACTCAAGTAAATATGGTATATTAGAAGTAGAATCTCCATGCAAGGATCTAGTCCAAAAAATTTTTTTCTCCGTATAACATTTTTTGTGGGTCCTATAGGGTTCTCTCCCCACGTCATACAGTTTCTCCACAGCAAACCTCTCTCTACAACAAGTTTTCTCTGGTACATTGTATTGTGTTTTGTTATAGAGAGAGTCCACGACCTGTACAGTATTGTGTTGGTTTTATCTCAAATTAATTGCTAAATTTGTCTTTACAGTACAGTACTATACATTTCTCGAAGGCTCACAGATACTGTAAAATAATAGCTTTAGTGTATTTGTTTTTCTCATTGTAAATTGTGGGTGGAAAATTGTACAACTGAGCAACATACAACCAAAGAAACACATTTTTAAAACGTAAAATCTGATTTTTTTGATCGCCATTAGTGAACTGAATTTGAGCCACAAACCTCACGTGAAGAATTAAAACAAAAAAGCACTAGGAATTATTCAAGATTAGTAACTTTTTTCTGAGAAAAATTATGAACAGGTATTAAATCCCACTCTCGTAAATGTTCTTTCTCTTGATGATGTTGCTTCGGTGTGAAGAGTGGATTTAAAACACTTGATGTTTACACTTATTGAACGGCGATTGGCGCTGCCATGGAGCGCTGTTTCCAGATCGGGGTTGTGTGGCCAAAGCTGTGTTCCCGGTTGTAAATTGGGCAGCTCGTCAGTGGGTGGAAGAAGTTTTTATCTGCGACGACGTGTTTAGAAGGTTGAATAAAATGCCCAAGATTGACCTTTTCTCAGGGTTTTATTTTTCACCAAGCTTCTTTACACACAGCGGATTCCCGTTTCAATAACAAGAACCTTAGGTCGTGACCTCATGAACACAGTCACGAGTACGGTTGATTTTTCTGTCTGAGATACACAATCACAGTTAGAACAAAATAACTTTCAGAATAACAAACATCAAATAAAGTACAACACTCGCAAAGTCGGAAACCTCTAACGTTACGAGCGTGGATTTTCACAAGAATATTTGTCAAATACAATACGGCCTGACTCCTCGGGAGTTCAGGCGGAAATGGCGAACATGGCCGACAAAATAGGCCTTCGGGCCAAGAGCGCACCAAAAACACCAGATGGGCGCAGATGTTTGTCTCGGAGAAGATGGAAAACAACACCCGGTGCAGCTGCGTGTACTGCGCAGTAGCAATGGAAAATTTCCAAGATCCCGGCCTGGCAAATCCAAAACAAAGAGACGCCGACATCCGCGGGCCAACGCGCCGCGCGGTAAAGAGGTACAAGATCCCCTCTCAAGGGGATCAGGTTACCGCCAACCAGGGAGCCAAGCAACGACCCCAAAAAACGCGCGCGCGCACTCAAGATCACGTGATCCCCGAGTGCTGAAGTCATGGCTGCCTCAAGGAAACCCAAAAAAGGGCAAACAAAAATACAAAAAAGGGGCATTCACAAAATTTTTACATATTTGTCATGAATACACAAAAACGTCATAAATTCCACATTGGGAACCTTTGGCGTTCCGGGGAATCTTCCAAGATCCCCACGGACGGCCCGGATCCTTCGGCTTTCTGAGTTCAAAACTCATCAGCCAACATATAAACATAAACAAACAAACAAAATTCAAACCAATGGGCGACCGAAGGGCGAGCCATTGGCGACCCAAGGGCGAGCCATTGGCGACCCAAGGGCGAGCCATTGGCGACCCAAGGGCGAGCCATTGGCGACCCAAGGGCGAGCCATTGGCGACCCAAGGGCGAGCCATTGGCAACCCAAAGGCAAGCCATTGGCGACCCAAGGGCAAGCCATTGGCGACCGAAGGTCGAGCACTTTCAACAAAAAGTTTGTACAGTGGCAAATGTGGACATTATAAGTCAAAATATACACATACTAGAATACATCATGTTCCAAATAAATTCATGTATGTAATTTTTGATACAAATTTTGTGAGGGAGAAATCCTAAGAGGGATTTCCCACAAACAGGTTTATTTTGTGTGGCAGTGTATTATTCCCGCATTGGGAATACACAGCAACATGCATGATAGTTGATTCCCTTGGAATAAATGCTGAAGTTCAAAATGAGAATTCAAATCTTGCGAAAATTTGAATTCCCTCTGGTTTTCGAATTTTTCGTTTGCGAATAATTTTCAAGTGCGTAGCCAGTTCTGTAGTTCAAATATTTATTTGTGTTCTTATCTGTTTGTATTTCGATATATTCATGTTCATCTTCTTCATTTTCCATTGATTTCTTTTCGTGCCAAAAATGAAATGAATGCGGTTCAACGAGGATTGACTGTATATTTCATGTCTGGTACGTTTTCTGCTTTTGTATTGAGCCGAAGAACCGAGTCTTTCCAGCCTTCATAATTTATCCTGAGCTTGTACTACGACTTGAAAAATACTAATGCGTTCTGTTCTTCTTTCTTGCCTTTGTGCAGGTTTTATGGGCCAAGTTTTTTCCAAATTGAGGCTGCAGACTGCCAAAAAGACTGACGAGAGGGTTCGCTTGATGTCTGAAATTTTAGACGCCATGAGGGTTATCAAGATGTACACTTGGGAATCTCATTTTTCAGAGGCTGTTCAAAAAGCTCGAAGGTAAGTTTGACAGTCGAAAAGTTGGTCATATTTTCATTCGAGGTGCACTTCAAAAGAAGTATTTCCATCACTTTTTCATTGGCTCAGATGAATGATGAAAGCTCGACTGGTTTTAGTTTTCTCAATTGTCTCCAGAGTCGGCATTTTTACTAGTCGAAAAATCCCCAAGAAGAGAAAGGAAAGTTTTTGGACGGTTTCAGAAAGATTGAACGACACTTCCTTCATCAAAAAATGCTTTTAATCATGGAATTTGCAGCGTGAACTTTACGAAGGTGGCTCGTGAACAGGATGACGTTTACGTGAACCCATGCTGTAAACCTTAATATACATTTATCACGATATTCTCCGAGACATGAGCATGAGTTTCAGTTTTGAAGACTTTTTTCCCCATAATCACTTCAGTTCCAATTTTTGATATACCGTCAGTCAATCCATGTTTAACCACCAATATCTGTGCAGCCTGATCTTGGCATTTTAACTGAGGTGGTGGTCTATTAGTGCTGGCATGCACCTTCCCACAAAATCAGAGAAGAAACAAGAACAAGGGAAGGTTTTTTTTTTTAGCAAAAGAGGAAGTTTCATAGGTAAGCCCTAATACTTTATTATGAAACCTCCCTATTGGGCACAAGCCTCAATATAATTTGATGTCAAGTGATATCAAAAATAAAAACACGTTATTCAGTTTGGGACAGGACCAGGATTCTGTTTCAGAATTCCTAGTTTAAAGAGGGGTAAATGTATTTTGGAATAAAGTTGGAATGAGCAACAAATCACTTGAACTCAGCTTGAATAAATTTGAATAACGCAGTGACTAAATTGAATCTGACAGTATTAAGAAAGATGAACTTATATGCTACTAATTACATTTGACCTTCACAAGGTTTTACTGTTCATAATCAGTGCAAGAAAGCTAGGATGCTACAGTGCCAGGATGCACTGCGATTTTGAGGAGGGGGGACGTTACTGTTTCTCAGAACTAGGTACGCTATTTTACCTGGCGTGCATGCCCAACACTCCCAATATAACTGAAAAAATTGGTAGTCTGTGGAACAAAACCGTGGTGTTTTTCTTTCCTGACAAGGAAAGGAAAATACCAGGGGTTTCCTCTAAAGTATTGGCAGTTTATGGATAGAAAAACCATGGATAGGAACCCCTTTTTGGGAGGGGGGGCAAAAAACTTTGGTGGATGGTGGTTGGGGGCCTATTAAGGTTCTGCCATCCCTTCAACATTAGGCCAATTTGTTTGGGACAAAATTTTGGTGGGAACCAAGGGTGGCAGTTTATTAAGGGGGGGGGGCAGTTTAACAGGGTTTTGGTTGTACTTCAGCACAGCTTGGAAGCTGGCTTACCCATTTGGTTTCACTCAGTATTTCCCCAGTGGTTCCACTAATGGGCGTTGAATGCAATTGATTTCATTCTTTGAGTCAAATTTTTTGTGATGAACTCTATGAACCACATTTACTGAATGTCATATGGGGCGGGTTACTTGAAAGAGAACCGCTGCCATCAGTAATGCAGATTATAGGTTTATTATGCTCTCTTCTGGTTCAGAGTAAGCTAACTGCATCTCATTCCAGAAGGTCATGAGGTTAACCAGAATAATTGACCTTCACTGGTCTTTGAGGGAACCTTTAAGAGGTTCCCCTACACTACACCTGAACACAGTATCATATTTATCCAAAGTGTGAATTAGAGATTGATTTTCTTTTCAGGGAAGAGATCAAGATTGTGAAGAAAATATCAACTCTGAGAGGAATCAACATGGGCTTGTACTATTCTTCATCCAAGTTGATTCTGATGTGCACATTTTTGGTCTTTGTGGTGACCGGGAACCAACTAAAAGCTGATGTAGTAAGTGACTTCAGTCAGAGGAATTGAGAAGAAGCTACATTTTGTAAATATCTGCAGGTTTTTCTATCCGTTGCCCTGTTCAATAACATACGGCTCGTGATGACGTTCTTCTTTCCATTCGGTGTGACCCAAGCTGCGGAAACTCTTATTTCCGTGCAGCGATTACAAGTCAGTAAAAATGACGAACTTACCGACGGTTTTTTTTTAAAATACAAAATTCAATTTTGCAGGAGTTTTTGTTGCTCGAAGAGCACGTCCAAGTTAAAGCTCTTCCGGAAAAGGTTTCTCAAAATCAGGGTAAACTAGAACTGAATCATGCGAGCGCCGGGTGGCTTCCAGAGTCAACACATCCAGCTATTGACAATTTGAGTGTGACCATTCAACCAGGTCAGCTTGTCGTCGTTTTGGGACCAGTTGGAAGTGGGAAGGTAATGAAAAAAAATTCTGGATTTTGAGACTTTAAACATTTTTTCCTGATTTTTTTTTATAGAGTTCTTTGCTCCAAGCGATGCTCGGTGAACTTCCGTTGGAAAAAGGAACCCTGGAAGTCGGGGGACAAATTAGTTATGCAGGACAGGAACCTTGGGTTTTCGGGGGGACTCTGAGGAATAATATCTTGCTCGGTCTTCCTTTCAATGACTCCAAGTACAAGCAAGTACTCAAAGCATGTGCCTTAAGCACCGATGTGGAGAATTTTCCGTTCGGTGATTACACGCTGGTTGGTGATCGGGGTGTCACTTTGTCTGGTGGACAGAAGGCGAGGCTTTCGCTGGCGAGGTTGGTCTCATTATTTATTCATCACCAGCTTTCTTTTGCTTTCAAATCTCTGATAATTATTTTACCAATTTTAAAATTATTATTTTTCTTTTCAATCCATAATACAATTGAATGCACGTACAGTATTCGTATGTTCTGTGCGTTCCGTCGTTTACTTTACCTCGAACCTTAATATCTTTTTCGCGGATGTCGTTGATTTTTTTGCAGCTTGAGTTCGATTCAGCCACGAGAATTTACAGCAAATATAAGTTATACTGTATTTTTAACAGTTGAACTTCTAGGATCCAGCCAAAAAATTCGAATTACAGAGGTTCCGAGTTCGTGAAACGAGAATTTTTGTTGGGGTGGCGTAATAAGAACGGGGAATTTTAATTGGTGATATTCTGAGCTTTAAATTGAATCTTGAATGAGTTTTCAGGATGCTGAAGTTGAAGACAAGGGTTCATTTGCCCCGGTATTAGTCTTCGACTTCCGTCAAAAATGAATGGAGTTCCAATTTTCTTGCTGTTATTTTTTCGTCTGGGTAATCTGTAAAATAACAGACAAAAGACCTCCAGGAAACTCGAGTTACGGAAGTTCGAAGAGGGAAAGCCTTTGAGTTTAGGGAGACTTTCAATCAAATGTTTCTATGAAAATCCAGGGGACTTTAAAAACATTTTGAAATAGGGAGGTATTCGACTTGAAGAGGATTCCAGTCAAGTGTACTTCGATTTTTTCGCAAAATATTCGTGAGGACAATTTGTAATATATTTAGAGCATTTTTGAGAATCGTGTAGAACCCCAAGAGTTGAATAATGTGAGAAATAAAATTCCTTCCTGACGAATTTTTTTTTTTTCAGAACCATGTATCAGGATGCAGATATTTACGTTTTGGATGATCCATTGTCTGCTGTTGATGCCAGAGTGGGACGGCATGTTTTCAAGGAGTGCATCAAAGGATATTTGAAGCAGAAAACGAGAATTTTAGTTACCCACCAGATACAATTCATCAATGAAGCAGATTATATCATTGTGATGAATCAGGTAAAAACGTTTCCACACGCGAGGAAATTCAGGAAATGTCGTTTCTTGGATCAATTAGTATTTCAGCTCCCAAGTGATATTTGCAAAATTGGATTTTTCGCTTATATAGAGCTTGACAAAAAAAGGGGGAGACAGTATACTCACGAAGTTCTTGAAAATTTCTAGGGGAAGTTGGTATTTTCGGGGACTTATCAGGAACTTCAGCAATCACAACTGGATGTTTCGGCTTTTGCAAGGAAAGATCCTTCGGAAGAAGAACGCGTGAATGACATCATAGATCCTTCTCTTTCGATGCGTGGTGCGAAAAGCATTGAGTCGCTTCCGTCAGCTTCTGGATCTTTGCAGTTTACTCAAGAAGCAAGTTGGAAATTTCATCGTATTTCTTTCTTTAAAAAACTGTTCAAAGGTTTTGACATTGTTCATTCTGTTAAATTGTATTTATTTTTATTGTTTTATTCAGCAAATGCTGTGATTTAAAAATAAACACGAAATGGAGAAAAAAAAGCTTGAGCTATCTCACATGAATGAAACGTTGCCAATACAGTAATGTTTTAATTCTAAAAAAATAAAATGTTTTTTAACTGTAAAAATAAATTGAGAAAAATGCCTGTCCTCATCTGCTTCTAGTAAAGGTTCTGGTCTAAATATTCAATAAATGTTTGGATCAAAATTCGGATAAAAAAGGTGATGTTCTTGTCATGTTTGAGTATGAACGTGTCCTGCAAATACTCCCGACATTCTTTTGTGAGTCAACATTGGATCACATATTACAGAAGAATTAAAAAAGAGAAAAAAATTAAATTTAATTTTCATTCATTTGAGTGAACATTGATGATTTTATTTGCTTCAATTCTTAAAATTCAAGCATTTTTCAATGAAAATTGGCGCGTGGTTTTATGTGGAGACAGGTTTTACTCCATTTTTCAACTCAAATAGGATATTTTATGTGAGGGCACGTTGTCCTTCAGTATAAACACAAATATATTTCCTATTTTACATGCTGGATCTTCAATTGTAGCTTTCGTGGATTTTCTCTCGCATTTCCCGGAATTTGACAACCAACTTTTCCAAAACAATTTCTATTTTATTCTGCACAGGAGAGTTTCAGGACTCCAACAGCCCCAGAGGAGATGCGAAGCCAAGGCGCCATATCCTGGGATGTTTATACGCAGTTTTTCAAAGCTGGGGGAAACTTCGTCACTTTAGGCACATTCATTGTGTCAACAGTTTTAGGACAGGTTCTGTTCTCAGGGTCTGATTGGTGGCTGGCCAAATGGTGAATATTTTAAATTGCTGTATAACGTCTCGAACCCTTTTCTATAAAGATTTGAAAAAAAAATTTAGGACTGATGAAACTCAGGAAAAAAGCCTTCAACGGAACCTAACGTCGATAACCGCCGGAGGCAATTCGACCGAGTTCAGTCCCGAATGGTTCCATACCCTCACTGACGTCGAATTCCTCTATGGGTACTGCTGCATCGTGGGAATTCTATTGCTCATGTCCCAACTGAGATCCATAGGATTCTTTTGGATCTGCACCAGAGCTTCTGTCGAGCTCCACAAAAGAATGTTCAACTCTGTTCTTCGTGCCCCCATCAGGTTCTTTGACGAGAACCCTTCTGGTGAGTTTTTGTCCGTCCAGAGTCAACCAAGTGGGACCCCAAAATGCGGACGCAATCTGTGCTTGAACCTTTGTCCCTATGTCGGAACGTCTGCCATGTCGGACCTCTTTTTCCCATAGACCTCAATGGTATATTTTTATTTGGTTCTGTGGATAGATCAATAATCAAGAAAAAGTTTTTCCAAAAATTGAATAAAATAATGTTTCTCAACTTTGAGATATAGAAAATTAATGTACAGTACTGAAGAAAACCACACAGAATCTGATCTTTTGGCCTCAGGAGAAGCTTATTAACCAAAGAATAAGAATAGATGTTTCTAATGCAATATTTCTGTATGGGCACACATAATGAAAAAAAAAAACCTGGAAGAAAGTGCACAGAATTTGCCTGTTTTCGATTATAAATGAGGTGCATTGTATTATAAACTTTTTAGTACAGTACTTGTGAATGCTTTAGATGCCATAAGCTCAATTTTGTAAAAAAAAAATTGAAAATTGTGAAAAATATTTTCAAGTTTTTCCAGAAATTTTGTAGAAGTGTCCTTACGTCAAGATATTTTCCTCATGTCGGGTCAGATTTTTTGAAGTTTCGAGCGTCCCAAATTCAAATCGTCTTTATGTCGGGGTGTCCGCATTTCGAGGTCTCATCGTACAGAGCATGAAAATTCGATCATTGTGCGAAAATCCCCATTTCTACAGGTGTGACAATAAATCGATTTAGCAGGGATATCGGAACAGCAGATGACCTTCTGCCAGTTGTGTTCTTTGATGTTATCGGAGTAAGAATAATATCGCATGCATTAATTTATGTACAAAAAAAACTTCCCACTCGGTCATTTCACTTCGGTGAGGGCTCCTGGCACTCTTGGCATAGTACGGATTCAAAAAAATTGCAAATCGCGATTGACAGTAGGAGATATTGATTTCTATTTTTCTTTTTACTGATCGTATTTGCTTTATCTCAGCTGGTGAAGGTTTCGGGTATGGGTTCTGTTTTCAGGTAGGCTGTTAAACCGGTTTTCAAGGGACACGGGAAACATGGATGAGGCCCTTCCTTTTATTGCGATGGACGTCAACATGGTGATTCCTGGTTACGTTTCACTTTTTGGTCTGAGAAGCTCTTTGAGAGGACAATTACTGTATACTTAGCACAGTACAATATTATGCAGTAGAATCTCCTAACAAGCATTCGCGACCTGAAAAAAGCTTTGTCATAAGTAAAAATCCGTTACTGTACAACGAGATTTGAAAAAAAAACATTGTGGCCATAGGACAGGGAAGAAAATCGTTGTAAGCATCAATTCAATATAACAATATTTGTTGGAATTAGTTTCTACAGTACTGTATATCTATTTAAAAAAAAAAGGAATTTTAATTAAATCTGTGACTGTGGTTTAGCTGTACATCTTTTTAAAAGAGTAATCTTGCTTCTGATGGAGAAAAATGTTGATACATAACACAGTACAGCGGAATCTCATTACAACAAATCTTGATGCAACAAATTAATAATGCTTAAAACACATTATTTTAGGTCCCTGCTGTCCAATAATAGCCATAATGTTATTCCAATGTGACAAAAATATTCATATTGAGGCCTTTGTCCTGGCCCCAATGGATTTTTTGTAACAAGATTTTACTATATTGCAAAGGTCTATCCATGACTTTTTAAGAATTTCAAAATTCTGTGAATAGGTAACCTATGAATATTGAAAACATAGGAATATTGCTTCTGGTTTGAGACCTTGATGTCTAATGTTGCACAGCTATTCTTGTATGAACTGCCAACATTTTATTTGAATTTCTTCATTTTTGAACTTGTGGCTGGACAAGCTATAATTGAAAAAAAAGTTAGCGATCACACTGTTAGTGTTAAACTGGATGCCTGGTAGGTAAAACCTGGCTTTTTAATAACTCAACATTTTTTGCGAATGGAATAAAATAGCGAAGATCCAAAAATGTCAAGCAACAATACAAGACTTTTAATTCATCAAATTAAATTAGCTTTGAGATGTTTTCTAACAATGATTACTTAAGAGGAAGTTGGCCATTGAAAGTGAAAGAAAGTTTCTCGATTCTCCGATAAAATTCAGTTGAGGATATCATTGCAATGTTTTTCCATTTTTGAAATCACTCAGTCCATCGACTGATCCAGCCCTTTTTTTCCAAGTGTTGGTGACATTTTTGATGATTCCAGATATTCTTCATGGTGGTGGGAAATGTTGTTCTGGTGTCGACTGTGAAGATTTGGATCATTGGACCCACGTGCATTATGCTAGTTGGATTCATTTTACTAAGATCTTACTATATGAGGACGTCTAGGGAAGTTAAACGGCTTGAGGGCATTAGTACGTATCGGTTTATATATTTTGGTGGCTTTATTGTATGCATTGCACTGCATGGTAGTTCAGTGTTCCCTCGCAATTGCCAATCACAGTTTTTGCAATCCGCACAAGGTTGGCTTCGGCACACATGATTAACTGCATTTTTAGCTTTTGTAAGCTTTTATGGGAAGGGAGAACTTTTTTGGGAATGGGTTTCCCACCTTCTCGTGAAAGAAGTGCATTGAGGCCTTGAGCAACAATCCCAATAAGTTACAGTGGTCAGTTCCTGGCCCTCGGCATAATTTATTATGTTATAAGTCATGATTCTCCAGCACTGAATGAAAAGCTGTAGACTAAAACAACACACATGTCCAGAAAAATGCAAAAAGAGGAGCATGAAAAAAAAATATCTGCCATGTATCGCTTTCATTTGGAAATTATGTGGTCCATTGTCGGAGGCAGAAGAGGAAATGAAAGTTCCCCAAAGTTGTTATTCCTCTTGGAAATTTCATTCTAAATGTATACTTCGACAAGTAACTGATTATTTCGAATTTTTCTTGCGAAGAGTCCTACATTTCGCAAGCTCACGTTCATTCCTTGCCCATTTGTGGCACTGACAGATTTTTCCCAAAATTTGGTACTTGAGAACACAGATATTTAAAAAACTAGACTGATCGGCATAAAGTTTAAATCGGAGAAAATTCAGATTTTTTCTCCTGGCTCAAAAAATGTGTCTGGGGAAAAAATCTTCACTGAGTGAGTTGTGTTTTCTGCATTCTTAAATAAGAGGCTAACATTGCAGGATTTTAAAAACAATATGGTTTAGGTATATCCTGGAAAGTCTTGGAGTTGGTGTATTCAGGTGAGCTTGGGTTTCAGAGACTTTTCGGTCAAATAAAAATTTGTTTGCATACCAAAAAAAAATTCCTGCCTGTGCCATATGATGGAAAACAACTTGCCAACATCCCGCAGTGCTAAATCAAGCTTTATTACTTCAGGAAAAATTGATTTTATCCTAGTTTTTTTGCTGTTGCTTTGGCTGTTTGTTGTTCCAGGCCCTAGTGTACTGTACTGTGAAGGCCATGCCAAACAGCTGCCTTCTACTTTTTCTTGCTCTGGCAATTTTTGGTGATTTTTTAAACATTTCTTTGGTTGCCATATTAGTGTGTCTGATTGGCCTTGCGTGCTTTGTATAGATTGCCGTTCAGACGTGCGGAGTTGTGGTCTTAGTTTCCAGTGTGCGTTTGTGGATGCTTCTGCCAACGGCCTTTGTTTTGGGGGTGTTCATGCAACTCAGGCAGTTCCATTTGGCCACTGCCCGGGACCTTAAGCGACTTGAGAGTACATGTGAGATAAGTAGACCTAGTGATCAATCCTGGGCGGTTTTTTGATACGTTTTCCTAGAAGTACTGTACATCTTTAACGGTGAATTCAATTCCAAATTTTCCCATTCAACATGAACTTGTATGCGCATGGAATGCTTTTACACGATGGACCTTAATAACTCTGCATAGAATGGACCTTCATGCCTCAAGAATGCTGTAATAGATTTATTGAAAGTAGCAATTGATTCTGCTATTTTTATCTGAAATTTTGGAAAGACAATGGCAGTTCAAATCCTCTGACAAAAAATGAAAGTTGGCTTTTCCCCTAAATAACACTCCAAACAAATTTTTACCTTCTCAAATGAAATATTTTCCTTTTCTCACTGAGAAACCTTTCTTCAAGCCCACCTTTCTAAGTTTTTGAATACATCCTACTATAGCAAGAGCTGCATCATTGGTTCTTCATTTGTTTTTTTTTTTTTTTCAAGAAAGCAGAAACTTTATAAATACTGTACCTGTCATGAAATCTTTCACATAAAATACTTTTTGCATCTTCAAAAATTATTTGAAACCTTGATGGTCCACTGCACGCATTTCTTGGGAATTTCCAGGTCCACAAATTTTTTTTATAGAAATTTGCTGGTCCGTGGGCCCAAAAAAGGCTGCGGACCAGCAAAGAAAAAAATTTGCAGACGGGGAAATTCCCAAAAAAAATCTACAGACCTGAAAAATTTCATAAATTTTTGCTGACTCACCAAAGTTTTGCTTGAATCTTCTTAGGCAGGTATTTACAAGAAAGATGCTGTAAGAATGCCATCAAACAATTGGAAAGGTGGGCATGGAGAAAGATTCCTCAGAGTGAAAATTAAAATAATTCATTTCAGCAGGTGAAAATTTGTCTGAAGTGCTATAAGGAGAAAAGCCAGCTTTTGTTTTCATCAGAGAATCCCACTGTCATTGTCCCTCCAAACTTGTGGGTAAATAGAACAAACTTCATCCCAACTTTTGAAATATCCCACGGACTGGCAAACAACTTTTTAAGAACCAGCGCCAGTCCGCGGGCCACGGGTTGGGAAACACTGGTTTAGACTCCGGAGGACTTTGAGCCATTTTTTCTGGGGACCCAGGAAAAGGCAAAGCTGTAAAAATACAATTTCATGCCTATTCGGGCGAATTTGCTTCTGCCTCCAATTAGTTAAGCATCTGGTCGAATGATATTTACCCAGCCGTTGAAAGTCCAAGAGTAGATCGCAAATATGACCTTCCTGTTATTTTTCATTTTCCTCATCATGAATGCTAGTTACACTATAATAAAAGTATCCCAATTACACACTCTTTTGGGTATTCTGAGCTTGATCCGAAACGGTTTGACTGCAGCAAATTTACATCACATACTCATGGAAGAACCTTCATTTTTTAAATTTTGACCTGTAATTGTGGCTGTCAATCTTATTCTTAAATTAGGATTTTTTCCGTGAAATTATACGGAACTGGTTGTAAATTACCTTTTTGTATCAGTGGAAAATACATGTAGACGCAATATCAACGCTATGCTTTGAATAATTTAACATTCAGTGAGCTTAACAGAGACACGGTGAAGAAGAGTTGCCTTTCTTTGCTTTTCTTAGTGAATGAATGCATGAATGAATGAACAGAACAGAACAGAACACTTTATTTGCAGCTTTTCAGCGTTCACAAGGTTCAATCAAGATTTCCACATCCAAACCCCCTTCCCACACAACCCAAATCCACTCAAAGACATTTAATCGCTTCAGAGCAGGAAACAGAGCACAAATTGTTAACAAAAATAAAAAAAATACAATCCATAAAATACAACTGGACATCTGACGTGTATGCATACATCCATTCATTCCCTGACATTGAAAACAAAATATCAGTAAAAATGTATTTAAAGCACAAGGTCTTCAGCTTTTTTCTGTATGAGGTTTAGTTGAATGAACAAAATTAGAGATAATCGTTGATGAGAAATCATTTTCTTAGTTAGCCTTGGTTTTGCTTGCCTTTGCTATTTTGCTATTTTTTTTCAATTTATTTAGCATCCATTTATTCGAATGGTTACTTTTTCACAGCGAGAAGCCCAGTATTTTCATTGCTGAGCGTGAGTTTGCAAGGCCTGCCTACCATCAGAGCTGCTGGATCGCAAGTGAATTTCACTACGCAATTCGATGACCTTCAGGTTGTTCAGTATACAGTGCATTAACATCAAAATTAGGCGTCATTTTGCATTGTTTTTTACATTTTCCAGGATTCACATTCCGCGGCGTGGTTTTTATTCATATCCTGCACTCGCTGGTTCGGTCTGGTCTTGGACTGGATCATCGTGGCCTATGTTGGCATCATTGTGTACAGCTTCGCAGCAGTCGACACAGGTACAGTCCAAGCATTCTTTTCAATACTGTACGCACTTTTCATTTTGAATGGAATTTCTAATTTTTCAAGACATGATCATTAGTCCTCAAGTGTCAAGGCGCGGGTCCCGTGTAAACGAACAAACTTTGCAATGCCTTCAGCAGTTCAATGAAATTTTAGTTTACGATGAAGAATCTGAACTAGAATCTCAGCCCAGAAAACCTAATCCGGAACTAGATTCTCAGGATACAGTATCATCTTATGGTACAGTACTTTTATTGTGGCTTTCAATCATTTTTAGTCCATGAACCAAAAAAGAACTAAACTTTCGAAATCCCCGGTGCTTGCGTGAGAAAGTTAGGTCAAAATTTTTTTTTTAAATATGAACAAGATTTGATTTTTAATCTCCGTAATTCAAACGTTAAGGGAATACAAATATTGACTTGGAGAGTTTCGAATTGGTAATTTGGCTTAATTTCGGTTCGTTATTAATATCAATGAATTTTTCTAGCCAAATTATTTCAACTGTTCATAATCCAACGATGCCCAGACCTGCAGGAAGATGCTTAATCCCTTGTGCAGAGCATAAAGAAAATAATTTGAGCCTGCTTTCTTGGTTTTCTGGACCAGGTTCTCAAAAGGTTAGCAAAAATTTATGAACAAAATCGTTTTAAATTTTGACTGACGGAGGTTTGACCTGGAATTTTCCAGTTTGGAATGTTCAACAATGCGAATTGGACTTGAGGGAATCAGTCTGGGATTTACTGAAAATTCAAATTCTGGAAGCTTTTACTTGCAGAGATTTGACTTTGCAAAATCCAACTTTAGTGATGATGATGATCACTCTGTTTCTCGCCGAAATTGCGACACATATATACTCAGCGAAAGAAAATTTTTGACAAGTTTCGTTAACGTTAATTTCTTAACTTTCCGAAGATGGGATTCTCTCCGAAAAAACCAGCCGATAAATGGGGTTATGATGCGGACAAGTTAAAATTTCAGGTCGATTAAAAAAAATACAGTGAATATTATTGTAATCCTCTGTACATTCAGAAACGTTGGGAGGTGATGTTGGACTAGCCATTTCTTCAGCCATGATGCTGACAGGAATGTTCCAATGGGGTGTTCGCCAAAGCGCAGAACTAGAAAATCAAATGACTTCAGTGGAGAGAGTGTTGGAATACACCAAGCTGGAACCTGAAGCACGACTGGAATCCGAAGAGGGTATGAACACTCAAATTAGCACCAGGTTCTTGGGCTTTTTCTCCAGATTTACCCATTTTCTTCAAGGACTGAAGCCCTCTGACGTTTGGCCGCATGAGGGAAAAATCGATTTCCTCAACGTTTCCATGAAATATTCCCCTGATCAGCCAGCCATCCTCAAGAACCTGAATTTCTCCATCAAACCAGGAGAGAAGGTAAAGAAGAATCATTTACAGAACGAATAAAATACTATACTTCTTACTGCATTTACTCGAGTACCATGAACCATCAAGTGAGACATGCACCCCCTTTTTTTTTAAATAAATTTGCCCAAAATTCTATCCCAGTAAAAGACCGCACCCCAGTTTTTGCTGGCTCTAAAGATCAAGAATTATGTTTTTTTTTGTGGCTCCATTGTCCTCCATTGATATTTTGACGTTCCTGTTTTTTACTCTCTGCAGGAGCAGTTGAATGAACTTGCAATATATGGCAGATTTCTCGATTAAATGAATAGCTTTACCTGCCTTTACTTTCTGTTGCATCTAAAACTAATGTGCAGTATTCCTGAAATTGTTAGTGCTTGAACCATTATTTCCCATGGACAAGGAGACTTAATGGTGCAACACATTTCCTCGTCTTCTTTCTTGCTTAGAGGGACAGTAAGACCCCAAAATGTGGACATCCTGACATATTCAACTTGGGAACTCTTGAAAAATTTTAAAATCGGACCCAACATCTGGACAATATGCACTGCACAGCATGCAGATACTTTTCCAACATTTCTGGAAAATGTTTCAATTTTTTATTTATTTCATATTTCTTTAAGAAATCTAGCTACTATAGTTACCTTCACAAATGCTAAAATTAAAAATAATTATAAGATAAACCATATTCGTGATCAAAAACAGATTAATTTTGTGCATCACTTTCTGTTTTTTTGATCATACCTGCTCAGTGTATGTAGCAAAACTGTTGTTCTTGTTCTTTGCATCTTGAGCTCCTTCTGATGCCAAAAGATAAGATTCTGTGAGGTTTTGTTATGTACATTTATTTTCTGTATCTTGACGTAGAAAAAATTATTCTATGATATTTTTATCGAGACTTTTTCTCAATCATTGTTCTTTAGGAAAGCAAATTAAAAAATACTGCTATTGAAGTCTACGTGAAAGCAAAATCTGACATTTGGATGTTTCAACACAGGGGTAAGGTCCAAGCACCAATTACGTCTGCATCTTGAGTCCCACTGTTCTCTTATCTGTGAGGGGCACTGGTTTTGGGGATTTATCCTTTACAAATGTATCCCCAAGTACCAAGCATGCCCAATTTTTCTGCCACAGTCTCTGAAATAAAAAGGTGCGCATGGTACTTCAGTGACTAAAGTATGTGGCTTGACTGTGATTGCAGGTTGGTGTGTGTGGAAGAACAGGTGCAGGGAAGAGCTCATTGATTTCAGCCCTTTATCGTCTCACTGAACCCCAAGGCTGCATCATGATAGACGGGGTAGAAACAAAAAGTCTAGGGCTGCATGACCTGCGAAAGCAGATCTCCATCATACCTCAAGACCCTGTGCTTTTCCAGGGGACCATGAGGAGAAACTTGGATCCATTCCAACAATATAATGACGTCGACCTCTGGGATTCCCTGGCACAGGTATTTTGTCCTCGCGATTGTCAGGGTTTGCAACTGTAAAATAGACAACTAATTTAAATTGCCACCCCTCTGGTTAGCAAACGTGTTCATGGATGAAACCCTGGACACAGAAGGAGTTCATTTATGATTCTTTATTTTTTTCATTCGGATTCTGTGCTGAACTGTTGATGCACTTATCAGTTGGACATTTGGAAGGTTTGAGTTCCGAATGAAAAGCTAAGGTTTTCTAGCTTCAATTAAGTCATCACTTTTCCGTTCGTCTTCTCAATGAGTAATGAATAATTTTCATGAGAGGTGATTTCTATGGGTAGGGACAAAAAGCAGAGGATTTGTTTCTTGTTCTGACTGAAAGTGCAAGAACCGAGAAAGTCATGACAAAGTCTTTAACCTGTATATAGAGGTTGGGTGAACTTTGCCAAACTCAATTTTGGCACACCTCAAAGGAAATTAAGTTATTGCAAATGGATGGAAAAGCGTAGCTTTATTTGGTACATGATGATGAGTTTCATGCAAACACTCACTTTGCCAATGAAATCAATTCAACAGTCATAAATAAAAATGGGTCATATATAGGATGGAATAAATTCTGAGAATTCTCTTAACCCTTTTGCAGGACAGTTGGACTTTTTTTTGCAGTTTTTGGGTGCACTCAAGAATGACATTTAAAAAAACCATGACAGTGTGCACAGGGAAAAGTCAGGAAAAATTCTGGTATTTTTTTCCCACAGAAAAATGAAAAAATACTCATAAATGAAAAAATCAAATCTTCAAGGCTCACTTTTTCCCTTGGCCTTGTGTTGTTACCCCATTTTAAGCTTGAATTTAAGCTTGAAAGCTAGGAGCCCAGGTTAAAGGTCACTATGGAAAAAGTGCAACTTAGGACTTTCTCAGCATTTCTTTATCCCTGGATAAAATCCAAATTTGCTCTTCCCCACCTGTCAGGGCATGCATAACCTTGGGTAATAATTAATTGCAGGACCAAGCAAAAAAGTCTGACTTTGCCCTGGGATCAAAAGGAGGCTGCCACCATCCAAGGGTTGCCCAATAAAAATATGTTAAACCCATATACATGAAGAGCTGAAGAAAGAAACCCTTTCCCATCATCAATACTTGAAGAATTCCTGTCTCATTTTCCACCCAAAAAAAGTTACAATCAAAAGGTTTCACACATTTTTCACCAGGCATTTTCACTCGTTTTTTCTTGTCCCACAGCCTTGAATGTTGTAAATAAGTACCAGTGTCTAATAGAAGCCAATCTCTATATTAAGCACCAGGAGAAAAGTCCAATACTTCAAAAAAAATGCCAGGGGCATTGTATTCAAATGAAGAACATCTGAATTATGAAATGTCTCATTCAACTGACACACATCAAGTGAAAAATAACATCAAGAATGGATGTATTAATATTTATATCAATATTAATGTTATATTATATATATTTATATTAATATTTATTTATATTAATATTTATTTATATTAATATTTATTTATATTAATATTTATTTATATTAATATTTATTTATATTAATATTTATTTATATTAATATTTATTTAAATTAATATTTATTTATATTAATATTTATTTATATTAATATTTATTTATATTAATATTCATTTATATTAATATTTATTTATATTAATATAAATAAATATTAATGTTTATATTAATGTATTAATATTTATGTATTATTAATATTTATTCTTAACATTTTTCTTAAATTCCTGTTGGACATTTAACATATATTAGTGATTCTTCTTGCGCCACTGCTGGTGAGAATATAAATGAAATGCACCCTGTGGTAGCCATAATTACTGCGTGTGCCGCCTTTTCTATTCTACTTACATAAAAGCACACTGATTATAGATGAGGAAACCTATTTTCCAGGTGCAACTGAAGGAAAAGGTATCATCCCTCTCAGGGGGTCTGGATACAGAGGTTTCAGAAGGAGGGAAGAATTTCAGCGTGGGTGAGAGGCAACTGGTGTGTCTGGCGAGGGCTATTTTAAAGAAAACGAAGATCCTTGTGATGGATGAGGCGACTGCCAACGTTGACCAAAGAACTGACTCTGCCATCCAGACAACCATCAGAAAGACCTTCCTGGATTGCACAGTGATCACGATTGCTCACAGGCTGGAAACCATCATTGACTCTGATAGGGTCTTGGTTCTGGACTCGGGTAATGTTGTGGTGAGTATTCGTGTGTATCTAGAGATATTTCGAGCCATTTCCAATTTCAACTGGAATTCATACGTCTGTAAAGGAGTTCGACACACCTCATCAGCTGCTCCAAAAGGACGCTAGTGCATTTCTAGGGCTTGCGAAACAGTCCGGGCATTTCGAAAAACTACGATTTTTGAGCAAAACTGTCCAGGTAAAATTCAGCTCTCCCGAAAATTGATGCATTCTTCATCTTCATTGTATTCTATGTTTCAGAAGAGTGGAGGCAAAGAAGCACAAGCAGAAACGCAGGATTCCGGGCATGTTGATATCAAAAATGAGTGAAGCTTCAGTGATTGATTTGAATGAATCAAGTGCCGACGTCAATAAAAATAATTTTTCTCCACTTCGTTTAGTGCAGACTGCAGATGGAGAGATCGATATTGCAGTCAAGAATCGTGTGATGCGTGAAAATCCCGGTTCCACTCCTGAAAAGAAACACATCCGCTAGTTTCGTTTAACCACCGGAATAATATCTTCGAGAGTATAGCACATATCATAATCCAGGTTCAAATGTACAGTACAGTACTTCGGGGCTGTTCTTATTTACTGTACAGTGAGGCCAATTACGGTATACAAGAAAGCTATGCAGTCCACCAAGAAATTCATCATGGGGATGGAAAAATGCCACGCGTCTAAAGCTTCATTGAAAAGAAATTCAATTTATACCAGGCAAAAAAAAGCATTGGACAGAAAAGCGTGTGTAATTCAATAGGTTACAAACATTGAATTCTCAAATTTAAAGAGAAAAACTGCTGGTATTAAAGTATGTCTAAAAATTACATTAATATTTCACAAGATCGAAAAAATGGTTGTCAGTGCTCGCGCTCCTATAGTTGTGCATTAATAAAGCTAGACATTCTTAAATTTTCTCTTGAAATGTTTGCCTTGACTTTAAAAATTTGAAAATTCCGGATTCTTAACTTCCCACAATTTATTCTTTGCACAGAAAATGTCATTTCGTAGAAAACATTTTAATGGTATCCCTTTTTGTCAATGAAGAAGTTCATAACGTGTCAATTCTTGTTTCATGGGTCCTTGTAATGCTATACAGGGAATGCAATGTATGGTACTGTAGTTCTTTATGACCATGCTGTTTGCCAGTAAATGACGAAGTGGTTCCATGGAAGAAAACACAGCATGCAGCCTAAGGAGGCCAGATCCTCCTTAACCCTTGGGCAGCAAAGTTGGACTATTTTTTTGAAATTTTGTTTCACCTCAGGGAAGAAAAGAAAAAAATGACAACAGGGAGCTGAGGACAAATTCCGGAAAAATCCTGATACTTTTTTTTTTCTTTTTGCACAGAAACATTTTGCAGGAAAAAAATGCTATGTTACCAACAGGCTTTTCTTGGATTAATCCCAACTTTGCCTCAGCCCACCTGGAAGGGCTTTCCTGATGCTCAGAAAACTAAAAACTCCCCAGCTTACGAAAATAATCAAATTTTGGCCTGCTATGGGAAAGAACCCTCCCCTGTCCAAGGGTTACGGGAGTCCCTCAAAACCTTTTAATTTTGTACACAAGTAGCCACAGGCAACAGACACAGGAATTCCTATCAACAAAAAAAGTCTAACACACACTCAGCAAAGATCACACACACAAACATATCCTACATTGCTACATGTCACAGTCCTGAACAGGGTCCTTCTAGGTCCAGGCAAAGCTGGCAAGTGAATTGCTGGCTTTGCCAAAGAATAAAAAATGGTTGGGATCTCAATTTATGATTTGATTCCCGGTTTTCTGCATCGCATTGCAGTGAACCAGGTGCGCAGCAGGGACTTCCACTGCACCTGGCTTGCTGCCACAGGGTGCGGATATTACCAAGCAAAGATGCTCCTCTTGGGTCACGCCCTCAACAGGCGCAACCCCACACATGCAGTCTTTCTTTTTATGTATATGACAGGACAAGGTTCTTATCAAGGACAAGGTTGTGCACTGCACAACAAGCACCCATATACTGCATGCCTCACCTATAAATAGGGTTTGGACCTCATTTAGTTGGCATCTGAGTATGGGTACAGTATTTGGTGCAAATGTGCATGGGAAGAATATTCAGGTATAACCTAGTGGGATAGAACCAGTGAGATCTTGCTTGAAAGTCTATCCCAGTGGCACCCAACTCAGAAGTGGCCAAGGGCCACATTGAAACAGTAGGACATTATGCGGGCCACAATGGAAAAAAGGCATTGGACATTTTATGCAGCAGTACATTGTGTAATTTGTACATTTCCAGATGGTTGAAACTCAACATCTGTCATCAAGTTCAAGGAATCCAGGACTTTCAAATAATACCTGGCTTTTTTCATCTACAAACTTTTTTGCTGCATTTTTGCTGATTTAGTTCAACTTGTACCTGCATTACTGCATGACTGAATCTTTGTTGAGTTAATTTAATACATTAATCTGCATAACTATTCAAAAAGATTCAACTGAAGCCCAAAAACAACACGCAACAGAAAATGCTGAGTTTTTTAAATGTTGAAAAATAATTTTGGCTGAAACAAAAATAAAAGCTTGTGTTTCAGAAAGTGGTGAACTAATTTGGAGACAATGTGGTATCTATAATGGTTTCACACAATGTATACAATTTCTCAAGAATTTAAATAATGGGTCTATGTAGAAAGAAGCATTGATACAACCTCACAATGCATAAAATGTTCATGGCCTCTTTGGGATGATCAAGACCAATAAGACATGCTGTGCCTGGCATCAAGTTTAGGTCATTGTGGGGGATTTTTCATGAAGTTTTTCTTAATAACAAGCCAGTTAAATTCACACTTGGATCTTGGACAAATCAAGACTGACAATTTGAGACAGAAACTTTTGGAGACAGGGACAATTTGAGACAGAAACTTTTGGAGACAAGGACAATTTTTTGAGACAAAAACTTTTGGAGTCAGGGACAACTTGAGACAGAAAATTTTGGAGACAGTGACAATTCAAGACAGATGCATTTCAAGGCATATGAGACATTTTGAGACAGGAGCATTTTCAAAATGACTCTTCTGTGTTTCTCCATTATATCCAACATTGAAGGTTCAAAAAAGAAAAAATTGTCACTGCTTGGTCAAAAGGTATAGCATGAATGAACATTCAATGAGCCTAACCTGAGGTTTTCTTGTGTTTTTGAAAAATCCAACTTTTTATTGTTTTCCTTCCTCTCTTCATCCATATACATTGTAATACACCTAAAACACACCAGAACACAATGAATCTACAGCACACAAATGATAGAAGGAATGTGTATAACTAAGCATACTGTATTTCAAATATTTAAATTCAAAAGCATGAAATTCAAAAACATCTGCAAATGAAATCAAGCTGAAGCCAAAAAGACAGAAAATGAAGTGTGATATGAACAAATGTTGTTTACAGTGTTTTGGGGGGGGGGGGGGGCTGAGGAAAACCAGAAATTATATTGCAGCAACTGTAATTTCCTCAGGATTAATCAAGAATCTGGAGAAAACCAGAAAATAGGTGTAAAATAAAAAATATTACCTGCAAAGTTGCTTTGGGAGAGCCTCAAATTTCCCTTGTCTCTAAATGTCCATGTCTCTAATAGTCCCTGTCTTTAAATCATCCTGTTTAAAATTGTCCTACCTCAAATTGGCCCTTTCTCAAATTGGCCCTGTCTCACATTGTACCTGTCTCAAATTGACCCTCTCTTAAATTTTCTGCCTCAATTAGCCCAGTCTTAAATTGTGTGTCTTAATTTGTCCGTATTGCTTCACATTTGCCTTTTTATGTGATGGTCTGAGCCGGTGTTGTGGTGAAACAGGGGGCGGTGGGAGGAGGTTTCTGGATCCTGTGCAGGAATAGAAAAAGAAGGCTTGTTATTTGGCGCTCTTAGGTTATTTGGACATGTAGTTTGTGGCAAAGATGATGGAAAAGAGTAAGGCTGTAGCTCCCATGCATTTGCAAGTCAAACCCGTTGGGGTGTGTCTATGGCATATGCGCCTTTTCCGTGATTTTGGACAATTTGGAAGGGCACATAGCATTTTCGTAGGAACCAAGAGTGGGCTGCGTGCCGCTCCGTAGTTTTGAGTTGGGGCTGCAGAGCAACCATCTGGCCTACGGTGAATAGTGGGTTTTTCATTTATTGGCTTGCTGGATATATTGCGCTTGTTTTTGTTTTATAACATCTTGGACCGCTTTCAGCTGTCAATCAATTAATATATCACCAGAATGCATCATTTTGTGTACAAAAAAATCAACTCTGAAAGAAAACTGCAAATAAGAAGTAAAATACTGTACTTTGCTTGATGGAAAACACTTATAAAAATAATAAACTGAACAAGGTTTTACAATGAGAGACAAAATATCAAGGGAATTCAGTCCACCCACAGTCTGATGGAGTGTCTGTGAGATGTCTCCCAAAAGAGTTTCACAATGATAGAAGAAATAAGCAAGTCAGTCCACCTACACAACTTTTCCTGAAACTCAGAAAAATCACCAGAAAACATGATGGTGTAAAACAAAACTAACCCTGAAAGCAAACTGCAAATGTGAATAGAAAATACTTCATTTGATGGAAAACACTTTTAATAATAAACAGAACAAAGGTTTCACAATGAGAGACAAAATATCAAGGGAAGTCAGTCCACCCACCTTGCTTGATTGAGTGTCTGAGGGGTTCATCCTGCCATAAGATTTGTTCAGGCAGTACGGACTCTAGAGTCCATCCTGCCTAAAGACAGGGTGTACAGTAAGATCCTTTGGGAAATGGACGAGTCAGGAGAACACAGATGTATTTCTCTTGACGGACGACAGACAAGTTCACAACACAGACGAGAAGGGTATACACAGCGTGAGTGGTCAGTACATAAGGTTCAGTATTTGAGTGAGTCTTGTTCATTTGAGGTTCTTCCTTTTATACAGGGTCAATGCCTTTGTCCACTTCTCCCCGCTAGGCCGTTTAACGGTGCTCCTTCCTGTGTCCTTGGTCGGGGGCCTTGGCCTCCGGAAGCGTGGTCATTTGGCTTGTTGTTCTCTTGGTGTTTTTGTCGGCAGGTGTTTTTCCATGGTCCGTTGTCCTCTTATCTTGCATAGCATCGTCGATGGTTATTGGCGGCGCTTACTCTCCCCCCCTGAAAAAAGAGCAACTGACCCAGAATGATGCGCCGTATTTAAAGCGGCGGTTGCCGGTGGTTGCATCAGGCATGGGCCCGATGTTCAACAGTGTACAGCTCGGCAGTAGGCGTGTGCGCAGTTGTTTGTGTCGCGTGCCGCATATGCGTGATTGGGTGCCTCTGTCATGGTTGTGTGGGACTTCTGCTTGTTCTGCATCGCGAACAGTTTGTCAAACCCCTCATGTGGCAGTCCTGGTAGTTGGTTCCATGGCTG